AACAACAACAACAACAACAAGGAAGTCCCAGAAGTTGTTTTCTTCTTTTTTTTGGAATGCAGCTGGTATTAATCATTGGTGGTCTCCCATCCAAGTACTAGCCAGGGCTGACCCTGCTTAGCATCCAAGAACAGAAGGGATCTGGTGCCTTTAGGGTATTTCCACTGATCTTTCTTTGTGTTTAAAGTGTCTTCAAGTTGCCTGTTCAACGTATGGCGGACCTATGAATTCCATAGGCTTTTCTCAGCAAGGAATACTCGGAAGTGGCTTTGCCAAGGAATAAATAGATGGAAAATTTCATTGGGGACGGAAGAATTTTTATGAGGAGGCAATTTCCCCGTCATTTCCCCTTTCCTGGCTTAATGGGACCATTGATGATATCATGCATGTGATATCATCTGGCCCTATGCTTTTGACATCACGGTATTAACTCAATGGATCTGATGACATCACAAGGGTTTGCTTTTCCCAATCTGGATCCATCGCACTCTGAACACTTAACAAGTAAACAAACTAATCCAGCTAATCTCTATCTGTCCTTTTGAAAGGCAAAACCGTATCTTTCTCAACATCCCATCACTCAAAGGAGGGTCCCTTTCATCCAGCTGCAAAGGAGATCTCAACCCAAAATTCCTAGATTTCCAATGATCCGACTTGCTATCTCATCTAGCCTTCATCTCTCATTGATTCCATTCATTAGCTCTTATCAGCCATCTTTCTGGATTATTGCCCAACAATTCGACAAAGCCATGCTTGCCAGGAGCTGTATCAATAAAAGTGTCCTCTTTCTACCCCGAGGCCAAATTCCTAAAGGGAGGCCATGTTGATAAGTTACAGTACAAGAGTCAAATGGTAGCTTATCTGTCCCTGGCCCTGCCTTCTATCGCTCCTTCTGACTGATTTTCGCAGCTTCTTCTGATTTTCACTTCGTATACCTCTTAATATTGATCATGGACTCCTTTGTATTTTGTCTTTTGCTCGGAATTGGCCTTCTAAGGAAGCCAATATTCACAGGAGCAGCCATTACTCACACTTTGCTCTTCCGTTGCAGATGATAGCGGCCATTTTTGGCAGTAACCTAAATAGCACCCTCCCAATAGGTTCAGCACCTTGGATAGTTCCTTGGACACCATTGAACGACGCCCATGGCTCAATACTATCGGAACATGGCAGTTGTAGTTTTGCAAGGTTTTTTGCCTTCTTTGCAAACTTTGCCCCAAGGTCCCCTTAAAGTGGCGTCAAACTGCATTAATTCTACAGTGTAGATCAGGTATAGGCAAACCCAGGTCCAGGGTCCAGAAGTGGCCCCTTGGGTTCTTTTCTCAGGCCCTCCTCTCTCTCACCACGCTATCTTTCTTTCCTTCCTCCTTTCCTCGTTTGTATTCCTTCCCTTCCACCCTTTTGTCCTTCCTTCCTCCTTCCCTCCTTCCCTCCCTCGCTCCCTTCCCTCCCTCTTTCTCCATCTCCTTCCTTCCCTTCCATCCTTTCTGGAGGGCCAAAGTTTGCCCATGCCTAATCTACATTAATATCTGAGTGATATTATAACATTGGAAGGGACCTCCAAAGGTCATCCAGTCAAACCTCCTGCCTATAGTGGGAACCCAGATCTCACAAATACACATCAGTTCCTGCTTGCACAAACAATGCAAGGTCTGGTTTGATTGATTTCTGTGGGAAATGTCTCCCGGCTCCTTTCCAAAGAGTCAACACTCTTTAATTTCCCAAACTGGAGTCAGCATTTCTTCAGACTCCAGTTTGGAGCTGTTGGCTACTCCACCCAACCGAGGCAGGAAGGGCGTGCGTGGCAAGGAGATAACCGATCTCTCCTGAATGCTTCTTGCTAAAATCCCATCTTTCTTGGACTCCTTGGAGTTCCCAAACGAACAGAAGCTGCTTCCCTGCCTAGAAAAGATTCCCAGGTTCAACACCTGGCCTTCCCTGATTCATTCACCCAGAGCTTTTGTAGATCTGCCTTTCCTTTTATGAAGAGATATGGATCTTGAAGGATTGATGGCAGGGCGTAGGCAAGGCTTCGTTTAATTAAACTTGGCACCGGCTGTAATATTTCCAGTGCTCACGGAATTGCCTGAGGCATGCCGAACCTCAAGAAGGTGCACAACTGAGCAGGGCTTGAAGTCAAGTCAATTCTGCAACGCCATCAAAATTACTCAGGTGTAAGTGCCTCTGTGTCCAGAAGCACGGGAGTAGCAAACATCTGTCTGAATTATATAACTTTGTCTTGACTGCATCGGAGCCATTGAATTAATATGGACCGGTGACTCAACAACAATTCACTATACACCTCAATGGGATGGAGTTGTAGCTGGTGGTGGCAGCAGTCTATCTGAGTCTTAGGGTGCATCTACACCAGGCCTAGGCAAACTTTCTAACTTGGAGGCCGCATGCTAGCACTCCCTGCTAGGTGGACTGGCCACCCATGATGGAAGAAAGGAAGGGAAGGAGGAAGGAAAGAGAGAAGGAAGGAAGGACGAAAGGGAGGAAGGGAAGAAGAAAGAGAGAGGGGGAAGGAGGGAGGAAAGAGGAAGGATGAAAGGGAGGAAGGGAAGAATGGAAGGAGAAAGGGAAGGAGGGGGAAAGAGGGAAGGAAGGAAAGACAAAAGGAAGGAAGAAGGGAGGAAGGAAGAATGGAAGGAGAAAGGGAAGGAGGGAGAAAAGGGGAAGGAAGAAAGACAAAAGGAAGGGAGGAAGGATGAAAGAGAGGAAGGGAATGGAAGAAAAAGAGAGAGTGGAGAAGGAGGAAGAGGAAGGAAGGAAAGGAAAAAGAGAAGAAGGAAGGATGAAAGGGAGAAAGGGAAGAATGCAAGGAGAAAGAGAGGGGGAGGAGGGAGGAAAGAGGGAAGGAAGGAAAGACAAAAGAGAAGGAAGGATAAAAGGGAGAAAGGGAAGAATGCAAGGAGAAAGGGAAGGAGGGGGAAAGAGGGAAGGAAAGACAAAAGGTAAGGAAGGAAAAAAGGAAAGGAGGGAAGAATGGAATGAGAAATAGGGAAGGAGGGAGGAAAGAGGGAAGGAAGGAAAGACAAAAGATAAGGAAGGAAGGATGAAAGTGGGGAAGAAAAGAATGGAAGGAGAAATAGGGAAGGAGGGAGGAAAGAGGGAAGGAAGAAAGCCAAAAGAGAAGGGAGGGAGGGACGGTAGAAGGAAGGAAAAACAGAAGGAAGGGAAGATGGAAGGATAAATGAAAGAGAGAAGGAAGGAAAGGCAAAAGGAAAGGAAGGAGAAAGTGGGAGAGAGGGAAGGAAGGATGAAAGGATGGAAAGGAAGGAAGGAGGTAGGGAGAAAGAGGGAGGTAAGGGAGGGAGGGAAGGAAGAACAAAAGGGTGGAAGGGAAGGAGAAAGAGAGAGTGAGAGAAGGAAGGATGAAAGGATGGAAGGGAAGGGGAAAGAGGGAGAGAGGGAAGAAAGGAAGGATGAAACAGAGGCTGGATGGCTATCTGTCAGGTGTGCTTTGAATGCAATATTCCTGCTTCTTGCCAGGGAGTTGGACTGGATGGCCCATGAGGTCTCTTCCAACTCTTTGATTCTATGATTCTATGTTTCTAATATGTCAGACTTTCAGCCGGTGTGAAGATATTTTGTGGCTTAGAGCTTTCTGCCCCACCTCTTTTCAATATCAGTCCTTGTTTGCTCTTTACGTCGGATGGGCTGGCTGATTTGAGCAGGTTGGATTAACCGGGATTTGCCGTTGTAGACTTCGACACAAAGGAGCATTGTTCTCCAAGCAGTGGGCACACCAAAAAAGGTTGCCATGCTCACACATGCTCATGAGCCTAGACACACGTCTCACGCTGCTATGGCAATCAACCCAACCATAAATGCATGGAAGACCCAAACAATAAAGTGAGATCAAACTGCACTTGTTTCCTTATCAACTTCCATTTAAGAGCCATGTTTTTCTAACTGAATGACTGATTCCAAGTGTAACTTTAACACTTGGTGCCATTCAGTGCTTTTCAAGCGTTGTGTGCCAACACCTAAAAACTTGATAAAAGTTTGACAGAATTGATTCTGAGTTTACAATAGGCCGACTTAATCTCTATCGCCGCGACAAAAAAAGTTGTCATTCACAATGATGGCATTCTTGCTGGGTTAGTTCAACCCAAGGTTGTGTGTGTGATCCAGATATCAATTTTTGTTTAATGTTCAAGGGCAAAAAGCCACGCAGGGCTCTTTATCCTGTGTTATAAGATGTCGGAGAAGGCGGAGGCAGAAAGTTGATTGCAAAGCAAATAGACTCCGCTTGCACAAAGGCCCAAGCCTGTGCAAACATATACCTTTTCACTCTTCCTACTCAAAAACCCATCCATAATATAGGGAATGCAATTTGAAATTAAGCAACAATATCTGCAGAAGAGTAAGCCAAATTGTGAGGTGGAAATAGACTGGGTTGTTGTGGGTTTTTTCGGGCTATATGCCCATGTTCTAGAGGCATTCTCTCCTGACGTTTCGCCTGCATCTATGGCAAGCATCCTCAGAGGTAGTGAGGTCTGTTGGAACTAGGAAAATGGGTTTATATATCTGTGGAAAGACCAGGGTGGGGCAAAGAACTCTTGTCTGCTGGAGCTAGGTGTGAATGTTTCCACAGATATATAAACCCATTTTCCTAGTTCCAGCAGACCTCACTACCTCTGAGGATGCTTGCCATAGATACCGGCGAAACATCAGGAGAGAATGCCTCTAGAGAACATGGCCACTTCTGAGGATGCTTGCCACAGATGCAGGTGAAACGTCAGGAGAGAATGCTTCCAGAACATGGCCATACAACCCAAAAAACCTACAACAACCCAGTGATTCCGGCCATGAAAGCCTACAACAATACATGGAAATAGACTGTTAGGAACTGTGGGAGTTGAAGCCCAAAACACCTGGAGAGAGGGCCGAAGTTTGCCCATGCCAGATGCACCCTCAGCCTGCAAAAATTGCAAATGTAGCAACCCAGACAATGTCAACTCACCGAGGTATTATTTTTCATTTGCTTTCAGCTGTTTGGTTGTGGTTCAGTGGCGCAGATCGTGCTCAGCCGAGGGAGCCACGGACAGTTTCTGACGGTCAACCTGGCTTTTGGTTTTGCTGTGACGCTGGCAATTCTCATTGCTGGACAGGTCTCAGGTATGGCATCCCATAATATTTATTTTTGCACCTTACATGCCACAGACTTGGCTCTATTTAGCACTCAAAAGATGTTTGAGAGTTGATTTATGCCTATGTAAAACTCCCCTGAGTGTCATATGCAGTAGAGTCTCGCTTATCCAACGCTCTATATTCTCCCACGCAGTCTGCTTCCTGCCTGGATCCATAGCTGTTTTAATACATTGCGATGTTTTGGTGCTACATTTGTGTTGAATGAAAAGTAATGCCTCCACCTTCGTAACTCCTCAACAGATGGCAGTACTGGTATGCGGCAGGTACTGGCTTGTTCAGTAGACTCTCCTCTACAGTTCCATTTTGGCAGGAAGCCTTAGCATTGAACGGTTGTGTTGTTAAAGTGAAAAGTAAAGCCTCCACCTTCGTAACTCCTCAACAGATGGCAGTACTGGTCTCTGGCAGGTACTGGCTTGTTCAGTAGACTCTCCTCTACAGTTCCATTTTGGTGGGAAGCCTTAGCATTGAACGGTTGTGTTGTTAAAGTATGGAACCCTGCACAGACGGTCGGTCAATGCGACTTAAGCAACATGCAGTCATTGAATTCTTGACACTCCAAAGGAGATTCATCAGAGAAGGCAGGCTGTTTTTGGTGATTGTGTTGATGTGAGTACTGTGCTTCATTGGGCGAGTACGTTTAAAGATGTTGAGGTGACACCTTCTGCTGTCAAGAATTCAATGACTGCATGTTGCTTAAGTTGCATTGACCGACTGTCTGCACAGAGTTCCATACTTCGTACTTGCAACACAACCGTTCAATGCTAAGGCTTCCCGCTAAAATGAAACTGTAGAGGAGAGTCTACTGAACAAGCCAGTACCTGCTGCATACCAATACTGTCATCTGTTGAGGAGCTATGAAGGTAGAGGCATTACTTTTTATTCAATACAGTAATTACAGAACGTTACTATGTATTGAACTGCTATTTCTGTTGATTTGTTGTAAAACACGATGTTTGGGTGCTTAATTTGTAAAATCCTAACGTAATTTGAAGTTTAGTAGGCTTTTCCTTAATCTCTCCTTATTAGCCAAAATTTTCACTTATCCAACATTTATTATTTATTATTATTTATTTGCTTCATTTCTATACCGCATTTTTCAGCCTGATAAGGCGACTCAATGCGGTTTACACAATGAAAATTATCACAATAACATCAATACTATCACAACAATATCCTAAACAATTAAAACACATCATATACAGCAACAAAATCAACAATCATTAACAATTCATAACGCCTCAATATGAAATCAGATCCGTTCTCGTAATCCTTGTGCCATTCCTGAGATCAAATTTTACCATCCTCCTATATTCAGTTGCACTGATTAGCCAAACGCTTGTTCATAGAGCCAGGTCTTAACCTTCTTCCGAAACGCCAGCAGCGAAGGGGCCTGTCTGATGTCTACAGGTAGGGCATTCCATAGCCGAGGGGCCACCACCGAGAAGGCCCTGTCCCTCGTCCCCGCCAACCGCTCCTGTGACGCAGGCGGGACCGAGAGCAGGGCCTCCCCGGACGATCTTAATGTCCTAGTCGGTTCATAGGTGGAGATGCGTTCGGAGAGGTAAGTAGGGCCGGAACCGTTTAGGGCTTTATAGGCTAAAGCCAGCACCTTGAATTGTGCCCGGTAGCAGATTGGCAGCCAGTGGAGCTGGCAACAGAGGAGTGGTATGCTCCCTGAGTGCCGCTCCTGTTAGCATCCTGGCTGCCGATCGTTGGACCATTTGAAGCTTCCGAGCAGTCTTCAAAGGCAACCCCACGTAGAGAGCGTTGCAGTAATCTATGCGGGATGTAACCAGAGCGTGGACTACCGTGGCCAAGTCAGACATTTATGTTTATGTTGGATAAGCAAGACTCTACTGTACTCACTTACTTGGGAGAAAATGTCACTGAGTTTCCAAATAAATGTGCATTTGGGTTGTTGTAGGTTTTTCGGGCTGTATGGCCATGTTCTAGAAGCATTCTCTCCTGATGTTTCGCCTGCATCTGTGGCAAGCATCCTCACAACCTCTGAGGATGCTTGCCACAGATGCAGGCGAAACGTCAGGAGAGAATGCTTCCAGAACATGGCCATACAACCCAAAAAACCTACAATAACCCAGTGATTCCGGCCATAAAAGCCTTTGACAATAAATGTGCATTTCTTTTACTTTGCGCTCCTAGTTGGAACTGTGGCCTGAACCATGTTGCTAGGCATGAGTTAACCCAGGCATAGGCAAACTTCGGCCCTCCAGGTGCTTTGGACTTCAACTCCCAGCTCGTAGGCTGTTGTGGGAACTGAAGTACAAAACACCTGGAGGGCCAAAGTTTGCCCATGCCTGCTTCGAACCGTAATTGACAAATTGTTGGAAAACCAGTGTTACTTGTTTGGTTGTGACCAAAACTGAAAATGAGGACAACTTTATGGTGAGGTAATGCAAAAGCTGGAGCCATTCCTAAATTATATCTAATGCAGACTTCTCCAAACCTGTTTCAATTATGCAAATTAAGTCTAATGTGCAAGAAATTTCATTTGCATAATTTATTGTGGTAGTCCCATGGATGCAGATAATTAATTTTGCATTCACCCTTATGGGCAGCCAAGATGTTCTCATGGGACATACCTGTGTTGAGCATCTGCCATAGGCTTGTGTTAAACTCCCAAGAGTCTTGCAATCTATTAGTTAAGTGGCCAACGTGGGTTTTAGTAGCTCAACAAACAACACAATGGAAAAGGCCAAAAGGGCACTCGGCCTCTGATTCCTATCTTATCTTATGCAAACACACACAACCTGCTGGGGCTGCTACTGTCCTAAGGTTAGACCCAAGCTCGAGCTACGATGCCATATAATCCTGATTATCAAACTGTGTTTTGAACAGGATTATATGAGCCTACACTGCCACAGAATCCAGTTCAAAGCAGATAATCTGGATTTTATATGGCAACGTAGATGGGACACTAGGCTGCATCCTCACTATAGAATGAATGCAGTTTGACACTACTTGAACTGCCATGGCTCAATGCTATGGAATGATGGGATTTGTAGTTTTGTAAGGCACCAACATTCTTTGGTACAGAACGCTAAATGCTTTGTAAAATTACAACTCAATGTAAAACGACATTAAAGGCCTTTCCACACAGCTCTATACCTCAGAATACCAAGGAGGAAAATCACACATTATCTGAGTGTGTGGACTCAGATAATCCAGTTCGAAGCAGATATTGTAGGCTTTTCTGCCTCGATATTCTGGGATATAGGGCTGTGTGGAAGAGGCCTGAGCCAAGCAGTTCAAATTAGTCAATGCATCGAAAAATCCGGTAAACCCAGGCATGGCCAAACTTCAGCCCTCCAGGGGTTTTGTACTTCAACTCCCACAACTCCCACAGCCTACCAGCTGGGAGTTGAAGTCCAAAACACCTGGAGGGCCGAAGTTTGCCTATGCCTGGGTTAACTCAATGGCTTTATTCTATTCAAGCCTAGCAACATGGTTCAGGCCACAGTTCCAACTAGGAAGGCAAAGTAAAAGAAATGCACATTTATTGTCGAAGGTTTTCATGGCCGGAATCACTGGGTCGCCCAATCGGAATCACCGGAGGGCCCAAGTTTGCCTATGCCTGCTTCAGACACAACCTTTTGGCCTGCGATTCCTAGCATCCCCCAGTCAAACTGGGAATTAAAGTTCAAAAAGTAAAATACCCAAGCTGTAGTTATCAGTAAGACAAACAAAGCAGACATTTCCTTGGGATCAATGCACCAAAACCAGACTCTCTAACCGTTGATTATTTCACAGGTGCCCACTTGAATCCTGCAGTCACTTTTGCCATGTGCTTTATGGCCCGGGAACCTTGGATCAAGCTGCCAATTTATGCTCTGGCACAAACCCTTGGAGCGTTTCTCGGAGCAGGCATCGTATACGGCTTGTACTTTGGTAAGTGAATTAATCACATGTGTCTCTCCATTTGTGTTGATATTTTTGTGTGTGGAGTTACACATTTGTAGCTCTGGAATGGACTTCTGTTTGCAAATACACCCATATGAACACAGTATAGGAAGAGAAGAGCTCAGTTTCAGAACTCAAGACTATGGAAAACAAGACTGCTTTCCAGAGTCTTGTGTTCATGAAGTCCAGGAACTGCAGGAACCATCACATTATCCTAAATCAGTGGTTCTCAACCTTCCTAATGCCACAACCCCTTAATACAGATTTTAGTTGCTACTTCATAACTGTCATTTTGCTGCTGTTATGCATCGTCATGTAAATATCCGATATGCAGGATGTATTTTCATTCACTGGACCAAATTTGGCACAAATACCCAATACACCCCAATTTGAATACTGCTGTTGGAGGGAGCGATTGATTTTGTCATTTGGGAGTTGTAGTTGCTGGGATTTATAGTTCACCTACAATCAAAGAGCATGCTGAACTCCACCAATGATGGAATTGAACCAAACTTGGCACACAGACCAAGAGAAAATACTGGAAGGGTTTGGTGGGCATTGTCCTTGAATTTTGGAGTTGTAGTTCACCTAGATCCAGAGAGCATTGGCACACATAACTCCCATGACCAAGAGAAAATACTGGAAGGGTTTGGTAGGCATTGTCCTTGAATTTTGGAGCTGTAGTTCACCTACATCCAGAGAGCACTGTGGACTCAAACAATGATGGAACTGGACCGAACTTGGCATGAATACTCAATATGCCCAAATGCGAACACTGGTGTAGTTTGTGGAAAATAGACCTTGATATTTGGGAGTTGTAGTTGTGGGATTTATAGTTCACCTACAATCCAAGAGCATTCTGAACTCCACCAATGATGGAATTGAACCAAACTTAGCACACGGAAGAACTCCCATGACCAACAGAAAATACTGGAAGGGTTTGATAAGCATTGTCCTTGAGTTTTGGAGTTGTAGTTCACCTACATCCAGAGAGCATTGTGGACTCAAATAATGATGGATCTGGACCAAACTTGGCACAAATATGCAATAGGCCAAAATGTGAACACTGGTGGAGTTTGGGGAAAATAGACCTTGACATTTGGAAATTGTAGTTGCTGGGATTTATAGTTCACCTACAATCAAAGAGCATTCTGAACTCCACCAATGATGGAATTGAACTAAACTTGGCACACAGAACTCCCATGACCAACAGAAAACACTGTGTTTTATGATGGTCTTTGGTGACCCCTCTGACACCCCCTCATTATTCCCCCCCAGGGGTCCCGACCCCCAGGTTGAGAAACACTGCCCGAAATGCAATATTCCTGCTTCTTGGCAGGGGGTTGGACTGGATCGCCGATGAGGTATCTTCCAACTCTTTGATTCTATGATTCTATAAATCCATATATTTCAATCAGTTTTGGGATTGGAGACCAAGCCACCATCCAAGAAAGGGAATTCTTCCCGAAACTCTGCAGACCTACTGTGTTGACCAGCTGTTGGTGGACCAATGTTCCCATCAATGTCAATTGTTGTTGGGATTAACTAATGGATTTAATTCATTATATTCCAAAAATTCCACAATCTGATGGACCACTGACTATTAGCATATTATAGATCAGATATAGGCAAACTTTGGCCCTCCAGGAGTTTTGGACTTCAACTCCCACAATTCCTAACAGCCTACCGGCTGTTAGGAATTGTGGGAGTTGAAGTCCAAAACACCTGGAGGGCCAAAGTTTGCACATGCGTGTTGCAAATGAAATATCTCACCATTTTGTAATAGGTTTAAAGGTTCTTGGAAACGACAATGTCAATGGGCTCTCTCCATATTTCTTTCATTTGTGCTGACAGCGCAAGGCAAAAGCTAGACGTGACACACAAGAAGCACTCAGTAGTTTCACAATGTTTTACGACCTTCCCGTTATAACTTAATTGAGGCAGTTACCAAATCCAGCACTAAGGAAATGATAAGATGGGTTGCACAATGCTTGCGAGAGATGAAAGCTTCTCAGCCCAATCAACATGTCCATGGGTTGTTGGTTTAGGGCCACAAACAGCAATACAGAGCCAACGTCTAGGTGTCACTCCCAAAGAAATGGCTCCAAACTACTTTGTTTTCTATCTCCAGGAATGAAGCAATTTCTCCTCCTCAAAGTAAAGCTTTTGAGGCTGAACTGATAGGTTCAGAATTGGCTTTTGAGTTCTTATGGCTTCTTAGAATTTATTGTCAATGGCTTTCATGGCCGGAATCTCTGGATTGCTGTGAGTTTTCTGGCTATGTTCCAGAAGCATTTTCTCCTGACATTTCACCTACATCTATAAGAGCCCCCGGTGACGCAGTGGGTTAAACCCCTGTGCCGACAGGACTGAAGACCAACAGGTCGCAGGTTCGAATCCGGGGAGAGGCAGATGAGCTCCCTCTATCAGCTCCAGCTCCTCATGCGGGGACATGAGAGAAGCCTCCCACAAGGATGATAAAAACGTCAACATCCGGGCGTCCCCTGGGCAACGTCCTTGCAGACGGCCAATTCTCTCACACCAGAAGCGACTTGCAGTTTCTCAAGTCGCTCCTGACACGACAACCCCCCCCCCCAAAAACACACACATCTATGGCAGGCATTCTCAGAGGTTGTGAGGTCTGTTGTGTTGCACAAAGCGTGTTTTAGCCAAGTTCCATGAAAAAGACACACAAACAAGAGGAAAAAGGAACAGAAAAACTTTACTCTTATCAGCGGAGGCATAAATTTGCAATGTTGCATACAAAATCAAACAGTGCAACAAACTTACATAGTCCTTGTAAGTAACACAGAATAAGGCTTCTTAATCTTCATTCAAATGAGAGACCAAAACATAAACCTTGAGTAAATAGCTATTCCACCATAGCAGCATTGCAGCATATTGCTTCTCTTCCTCAGAGTAGCGTATTGCTTCTCCAAACTGTATTCTAAAATCCATACAGTTATACCCCACCGGATATGGCCCAAACATGCTGGCTGACCTACATTACCAGCTGTACATAATAATTAACATGATAAGGGTTTTCTCTAACACACACTTGATCCTGCTACGACTTACTGTAGCACGTTGGAAATTAGGAAAATGGGTTTTATATATCTGTGGAATATCCAGGATGGGGGTGAGAACTCTTGTCTGTTCAAGGTAGGTGTTAATGCTTCAACTGTCTTCATTGATTAGCATTGATTAGCACTTAATAGCCAAGCGGTTTCAAGAAAGCCAGCTAATTACCTCCCAACAAAGGATTTCCCCAGGCAGTAAGAAGCCAGAGCTTGAAACTGCTGGGCTATTCAATGCTAATCAAGGTGGCCAATTGAAACATTCATACCTACCTCAAACAGATAACCTCACAACCTCTGAGGATGCCTGCCACAGATGCAGGCAAAACATCAGGAGAGAATGCTTCTAGAACATGGCGCAAAAACCTACAACAACTCAGTAATTCCAGCCATGAAAGCTTTTGACAATACACAGACAAAAGTTCTTTCTCCCACCATGGACAGTCCACATATATATAAACCCCACTTGCCTAGTTTCCAACAGACTTCACAACCTCTGAGGATGCCTGCTATCGATGCAGGCGAAACGTCAGGAGAGAATGCTTCTGGAACATGTTCATACAGCCCAGAAAACTCACAAGTGTCTTAATTGGTTAAATTGTTTAATAGTTTGCTTATAGTCCCTTCAAAATACAGTATCCACAGTTTCACTGTCCTGTGCCTGAAAGAAAAGGATCTCTATGCAAAATTATTAAGTCCTCCAAGTAATTCCATAGTACACTTGTCCTGGAAGTTATCACAAAGTTATGTTGCAGGATCTAGCAAGAGAGGATACCACTCTTGCAACCTTTAAGTCCTCCAATGCAATTCTATGATATGCTGAGGTCGGAAGCAAAGTAATTCCATGGCATATGGTTATATCCCCAATTTCATGTAACTGTGGAGCAGCAGGGAATGAACCCCCTTTAGATACAGCTTCCTACTGTAGTTCCATTGCTTTAGATCTTAGAATCATAGAATCAAAGAGTTGGAAGAGACCTCATGGGCCATCCAGTCCAACCCCATTCTGCCAAGAAGCAGGAATATTGCATTCAAATCACCCCTGACAGATGGCCATCCAGCCTCTGTTTAAAAGCTTCCAAAGAAGGAGCCTCCACCACACTCCAGGGCAGAGAGTTCCACTGCTGAACGGCTCTCACAGTCAGGAAGTTCTTCCTCATGTTCAGATGGAATCTCCTCTCTTGTAGTTTGAAGCCATTGTTCCATTGCGTCCTAGTCTCCATGGAAGCAGAAAGGAAGCTTGCTCCCTCCTCCTCCCTGTGGCTTCCTCTCACATATTTATACATGGCTATCATATCTCCTCTCAGCCTTCTCTTCTTCAGGCTAAACATGCCCAGCTCCTTAAGCCGCTCCTCATAGGGCTTGTTCTCCAGACCTTTTACCATTTTAGTCGCTCTCCTCTGGACACATTCCAGCTTGTCAATATCTCTCTTGAATTGTGGTGCCCAGAATTGGACACAATATTCCAGGTGTGGTCTAACCAAAGTAGAATAGAGGGGTAGCATTACTTCCCTAGATCTAGACACTATGCTCCTATTGATGCAGGCCAAAATCCCATTGGCTTTTTTTGCCGCCACATCACATTGTTGGCTCATGTTTAACTTGTTGTCCACGAGGACTCCAAGATCTTTTTCACACGTACTTCTCTTGAATTTCTTCAAACACTAACGACTGATTTTAAGTATGGGCTGTTTTGAGATAAGTTGTGATATAAATATGGAGATCAATGAATTAACCCATGCCTTGCTTCCTATTGTAGATGCCATCTGGGCTCATGCTGGGGAACAGCTCTTGGTGGCAGGTCCTAACGGCACAGCTGGCATCTTTGCTACCTACCCATCAGAACATCTGCACTCTGTGAATGGATTCTTTGACCAGGTAAGAACTTGAAGCTTCATAGCTGGGCATTTTGGTGGGACAGTCCAGTTGAAGAGCCCAAATGGACAAGTTGCAGGAGAACATTGAATGGGGACCCTACAATGCTTTCATTTTGATGGCCTCCTCAGCAAATGGCACCAGGAGAGCAATCCTGGGGAAAAGGAATGAATTATTTTCCCTCTATCATTTTCAGGATCTACCCAAGTCCCAAACAGGAAAAACATGGTGACAACCAGTTTGATTTGATAGTTCTCAAACTTGAAACAGCAATATGGCAACATTTCTTTCATAGAACCATAGAATCAAAGAGTTGGAAGAGACCTCATGGGCCATCCAGTCCAACCCCCTGCCAAGAAGCAGGAATATTGCATTCAAATCACCCCTGACAGATGGCCATCCAGCCTCTGTTTAAAAGCTTCCAAAGAAGGAGCCTCCACCACACTCAGGGGCAGAGAGTTCCACTGCTGAACGGCTCTCACAGTCAGGAAGTTCTTCCTCATGTTCAGATGGAATCCCCCCTTTATTTTTATTTCTTGTTCAATACTCCACTTTTTTCCCAGCATGGAAAATATTTTGTGATGAAATGTTTTCCATCCTAGCTAAACAAAATCTCCAAGGATGGAGGCGTTATATGCTGGAAGCCGATATTAGGGCCAAAAAAATCCATAAACTTCTGCCCACACTTGTTTCAAGAATATTTTGGTAACTCTCTTGGAAATAAAATACTAGCCAGAGTTTGGAGGAATTCTCTTTTTGGACTCCTGAAACAATGATGACTGGCTGTTTAGGGAACTATAACTGTAGACTAGATGCATCTGGATTCTGATGGACCTAAGGACCTTCTGATGTTCTTGAACACTTGAAGAGTTGGGTTGTTGTAGATTTTTTTGGGCTATATGGCCATGGTCTAGAGGCATTTTTCCTGACGTTTCGCCTGCATCTATGGCAAGCTTCCTCAGAGGTAAGGTCAGGCGAAACGTCAGGAGAGAATGCCTCTCTAGACCATGGCCATATAGCCCGAAAAAACCTACAACAACCCAGTGATTCCGGCCATGAAAGCCTTCGACAATACTTGAAGAGTCGTCGATACTGTCAGTGAAACAGATGTAACCTATGTTAAAAGTGAAGATAAAGAAAGTATTGGATAATGTGAGGAATCGGATGCTAATCTTTCTTCTCCTCTTCCGCAGTTCATTGGCACCGCAGCTTTGCTTGTGTGTGTCCTGGCCATTGTGGATCCCTACAACAACCCAGTCCCTAGGGGTCTGGAGGCCTTCACCATTGGCTTGGTCATCTTGGTGATTGGACTTTCCATGGGTTTCAACTCCGGATATGCCGTCAACCCAGCCCGAGACTTTGGACCTCGTCTCTTCACCGCCATTGCTGGATGGGGCTCAGAAGTTTTCACGTAAGTGCATTGCAACATGGCGTCCTCCCAATATTAGTTGGAAGTTGACCACAGAATTGCACCAAAAGCCCTACAATTTTGAGCATTTGTAGGTCTTCCAGTTTGAGTCTATGGTATCCACAGGTCTTTGTGTATAACTGAAGTCATGTATTGTGAGCTTACATGATACATGGGTTGTGTATTTTGTGTACTGTTGGGAAAATACAGTGTGTTTTGCACAAAAAAGTTTTAACATCAAAATTATGTAACAACTAAAAATGTGCAAGGCTTCACATAATTATGTCCTGTGAAGATAAAAACTGAATTTCTAATTCAGTTGTTTTGTCTTTGGTGCTTATTGGTTGGAATATGAATTTGGATATAATGCCAAGCTTCCTAAATTGACAAACTTCCTAAATTAACAACTCCTGAGATATCTGTAGGAATGTTCCAACTTCCTCGGTGATGCTATTTTGCCAGAAATATTGTTTAAATCATGTTATCAAGCCTGAGATTGAAGCCACATCACGTGGGTTTCACTAGAACAGAATTGCCACAACTGGAGATGTTAGCGATTGTCTCCGGACTTTGGCAACCCACCAGAAATCCCAACTCACCATCACATGATGTCTCTAGGTATTGAGAAAAAGCAGAGTTGAAAGAGGAGCTCAAAGATTCATGTCAAGACATAGTCCTTCTTGTCTTGTCTAGATATGATCTCAGGATGATGACTGGTAAACAAATCCTCAGCTGAACTCACAAGGAGATCGAGATGGGGGATACGTAGGTTTGGTTTTGGAGAAGGAAAGAACAAGGGTCGTTGGCCTTCAGAGGAGGTTAGCTACCATGTTTGGAGAATGTAAGAACAAGGACAGTTGACCTTTAGGAGTGGTTACCCCACATCTTCCTCCTCTTTCTCTTCTTCCTCTCACTTCTCCTTCTCTTGGGCTTATCTCTTCCAGGGTTGGTGGAAATTGGTGGTGGATCCCGGTCGTTGCCCCTTTCCTTGGAGCCATCGCTGGTGTCTTGGTCTACCAACTGATGATTGGATGCCATGATGAGCCACCTCCCGAATCCACCGATGAGGAAAACGTCAAGCTCTCCAACATCAAGCAGAGGGAGGCTGTTTGAAGCTGAAAGGGAAAGCTACTCCACCTTTCTCCAACCTCAATGTGCCTTTGGACAATTTTTTTAAGTAAAAAAAAAAGACTGCAAATAACCAAAGAAACGAGAATGCAGAACAAGACAGACGCATGGCAGGAGTTTCCTCACCTGCTTTTGAGCTAGTATTCTCTGCCTCTGTTCAGTTAGTTTTCCTTTGGGCCAGAAGAGTGGAAACCCAAAAATAATGTAATAAAGGTCAACCCACTGCTCTGTGTTGCTGAGCATCTGGCAAACTGCTATAGTTTGGCACAACAGAATCCTGGCTTTCATATATATATTTGCTTTAGGAAGTTGCCTATGCATTTGCCTGCTCCCAAACATTAAATTAAGGTCTCCACTTGGGGTGAAAAATGAGGCCATTGGTCAGTTGAAGACTGAGACCAACACTAAGGTGTCAGAGTCTAATTTTACACTAATAGAGTTGTGCAGTTTGATATCATAATGACTGCCATGGCTCAATGCTATGAAATCCTGGGAGTTGCGGTTTGTAAAAGTGGTGTCAAACTGCATTAATTCTACAGTGTAGATGCACCTGTAGACATGTATAAGATGCCAACAAGATTCCAGATTGAGTTTCCTTTTGCTGAACGCTAACAAACCTATTGCTTTGTACCTGTCCATTGTCTTCCCCGTTGTCACAATGTGGGATCAAGGCATGTTGCTTCACTTCTGTAAATATTTTGGGGCCGGGGGGTGGGTGGGATGGGGTTGAGGTCAGGAATCATATTATGCAGTTGCTGCCTAAGATCCCTTTGCAGAACAATCTGAGGCTTTCCAGGGCTGGATTCATCCCAGTCACATTTTGAACACAAGGCAAGGGATGATGAACCAGTCTTGTCAGTCTTTTCCCCAGCAACCTAAACAACCACCAAAGTAGGAGTGACATCCAGATGAGATATATGCATGAAGATTCACCGCTAGCTAAGAAAAGGTGGTTGAAACTATTGATTTGCAACGTAAGACCTTTTCCAAGCTTTGCAAACCTGCCTTGTTATGTTCGATCACAAATATAGCATTTGACTTTTGATAAACCTGTGTGCACGTGCCAACTTAGATCTTGCTTCAAGGTGCTTCTCCTCCTCCTCCTTCTTCAAAACATGCATTTATAAAGATAGCCCTGGGTGGTATCTTTCCAGGCTGAGCAAAGCAGGCTTGAAATGGATAGGCTTAAAAGCATTCCGTCTTTGTGTTGGATGGCCGCCCAGGGCTTTTGTTGCAACAAACAAGCATTCCAGCAATGTGTTGTGCAATGCATACAACTACAATCTACCTACCGACCTGCAATTAGGATCCAACCCCTGCGGGACTCAACATCTCACGATGCATCGGGGCAAGGGGGACCTCCTAGTCTTCCAAGTCCTTCAAAGCACCACCAAAGTTGAGTTGCATTGCTTACTTGAGCAGTAAATATTTAGGCTTTCATTCATTGGCTGCTGGTGGTCCATATTAAGGCTAGAATTCAGTATGTAAGTGGACTTGTGTCTGCAGAAAATAGAACTGACCACTTTTGCACTGTCCATCTTCCTAATGAGAATGGGAGCCAGCAAAGAGACCATTGCATATTGGGACACCAGATGGATATTGGTTGATCATGATGCACATTGGAACACCAGATGGAGAATGCTTGGTAGAATCCAATGTGCATTGTGATACTCTTTCCAATGCCCCGCTATGCATTTTTGCAACTCAGGTTGCTATGTATCAAACTATACATAAAATCATGCAATGCAGACGTGTTAGCTTGCATTTCAGAAGGGCATAGCTTGGTTTATAGGGCTTCCAAAGCTCAGGCATGTATAGGGCTTGCAAAGTCCATGCAACATCTCAAGAAAACTTGGAAATTTATATTTTCTGGATTGCAACTCACAGAATTTCCCAAGCTTTCCCAGCATCTCCATATTATGCACCTGGAAATATGACTTATGATAGTTCTCCATGGCCTCCAGCAGCAAAAAGTCTTTTCCAGTTTCTTATAATGGAAATGCTATAACTGATGCCCATATGTGCCATCTTTTCAGGCCACCTGGTCTCCTTGAGATGGATGTTGTGGAGCTCAATTAAACCAGATTGTGTTTTAGTTTGCTTTAAGAGAGTTGTCACATACACACACAACATGTACTCGGCCTCCAGCATTCATCACTGAAATAATGAAAAGGCAAATAATTGAAAATCTGCATGTATTTATATGAATGAGAAGCTCCTTTGCTGGGAACAATTGTCTTGTAAGAAAGATCTTAATGTATTTTTTTAAAGCTGATGCCTTTTTACAATCTAGTTCCTGCACAATTTGTAAAGTCTATACCATTTGTAATGTATTTCCTTTTTTAAAAAAGAAAATAAATACGTACCTATGTTGTATAATGGCTGTCTCCAGGGTTTCTTTGAATACCGACCTATAATACAAATGCTGATTGGTAGAAATATTATCTATTATATAGACTACATGGAGAAAGAAGGTTGGATAAAACACAGACTTGCTGTGTTGGGTTGCAGCAGTATGTTTGCAGCAAACAATGCAAATAACCTAAAGCTGGGAAACAATGGGGTTCTGCCGTAGCTGATCCTACGATGGTTGTGTGTGCCTGCCTACAACAGGCAAGGTAAACAGCAGCTGCCTGCAGACTTTTTAAGCCAATGGGAATTTGGCTAAAGCAAGTTCCATAAGAACTTCTATGTGTCCTGAATTCACCAGCTTTCAGGTTAAAGGATGTCCCCATTGGCTTCTAGTATGATGCAAAAAATGAACAAACCCACAAATGCTTTTTCTCATGTGCTGCATCCATGCCATGTATAATTTTTCCTGAGTTAACAGCTGCAAACAGTATTGTTTGAACTGGGTTGTTGTAGGTTTTTTCGGGCTATATTCCGGCCGTGAAAGCCTTCCGGCCATGAAAGCCTTCAACAATAGTATTGTTGGAATTTTGCACAATGCAACTTTAGTGTAGTGACGTTGCAAACCAAATCTAAATATACCTGCATACCACACATGAGCTGCACACCCAAGCCTACTGTGCTGGTACGGCTGTACCAGGAGCTCCAACTTTATTTTCTTTCTGTTATCTGTTTGCAGTTATAGGGCAGGCCTCCTGTCCATCATAATTAAGCTTTGGTTCCGCCCCTTGTTCAGGGCTCTGGGAGGGAAAGGAGCCATTTTTGGGCAGTCTCACACAAGGAAGCTAGACTATAAGATGTAGACCAGCTCGTCCCATAGAAAAGCTTCTTTTCTCAAGACTATCCAGGGAAAAAGCAGCATCCAGGGAAACAGAAACAGAAATTCCAGGGAAAAGGTCCCAAGGCTCTGGCTGAGAGCTCGCAGCCTCTCAGCCTCACAGCAAACAGAGGGAAAACAGCCCTGAAGTTCTCAAAGAATTCTCTGAGGGAGGACAGCACTACAGATCCATGGAACTCCATCTGAAATATCTACAAGCCTCGGCTGGTAGGTCTACTCGATACCCAGACGCATTTGGAATCGGTAGTAGGACCCACACCGATGAGGCATAGATAGTAAACAGCCTGGGAGAGGTTAAAAAGGGTTTTTTCCTACAGAGAAAGTACAGTTAATCAAAGTCAGGTACCAGCCCATTGAGGACTAGACTAAGAAAGCCTTGAAGTGTTGTTTGAACCATTGAAGATTTGTTGTTTGTTCCATAATAAAGACTTTGTTGTATCATTAAAGACTCTAAAGACCATCACTTCAGAAAAATACCTGATAACCTCTCTTTGAGGCGCCCTTGGCTTCCCGCTGGGCTTAAAGTATACGTCCTATAGAAAAGTACAGCTGTTACAGGCCCAGCGCGCGACTCGCAACAGAACACCTACCTTCATAACTTTGCATTGAATTCAGATGTTCTGCTGAAGAGAAAAAACATTGGTATCATTCAGTGGGTAACTCATGTCATCCCTGTGGACCTCCTCCCACAGCCAACCATTGCAAAAAATTGTAGCCAAATACAACCCCCCCCAGCAGCAACGAAAGGAACAATGCATGCTTGTAGTCTGTGCTCACAAAACCGCATGATTCAAAACATCATTATAAGTGGGTAACAGTGACAGCTCTGACCACAATGCATGTACATTAGAAAGTTAAAAAAATAAATTAGCATCAAGGTTTAGCCACCTTAAACATATATTGATGCAGTACACATAAACTGGGCTTATGAAAACAAAAATAATATAACAGGACACAAAAGAATTATGGTGCCACCTCCTCTGAGGGTGTCGCCCAGTGTGGTTCGAATCTCCTGCATCCCCTAAAAGTGATGCCACTGAGGATTCAAACCTTTATCACATTACCTGCACACTTAAGGAAAGCACAACTGTTTGTGTTGCCTTGACCCACAATGGGCCCGTTTCTGCAAATGCATTCTGGATGTTGCCTATACACAAGAACAGAGAACCCCGAATCCTGTTAGTGGCTGGAGCAGTTGTTGACTGGTGAACCAACACACAAATAAATAAATCCAACTGAGTTGTGAGTTTTTCGGGCTGCATGGCTATGTTCCGGTAGCATTCTCTCATCCTCAGAGGTTTGTTCAGAGGTCTGTGGGAATGATTTACATGGAGTGTATGTGTGTCCGTGTATGTATATATATATATATGTATGTATGACATTTATATGCTGCCCTTCTCACCCTGAAGAGGACTCAGAGCAGATTACAAGATATATATACATACAATATATTATATTATTAGCATAGCACAATATCAGTATTATATATTACTATACTATACAATTATATTGTAATGTTATTAGTAATATTACATATAACATAAAATATATAATTATAATATTGGGTTGTTGTAGGTTTTTTTGGACTATATGGCCATGGTCTAGAGGCATTCTCTCCTGACGTTTCACCTGCATCTGTGGCAAGCATCCTCAGAGGTAGTGAGGTCTCTGAGGATGCTTGCCATAGATGCAGGCGAAACTTCAGGAGAGAATGCCTCTAGAACATGGCCATATAGCCCGAAAAAACCTACAACAACCCAGTGATTCCAGCCATGAAAGCCTTTGACAATTATAATATTGTATTATTATTATTATTAGTATTATATTGTATTACATTATACAATATAATAAAAGCCTCTTTGGAGGCTTTTAAACAGAGGCTGGATGGCCATCTGTCAGGGGTGCTTTGAATGCAATATTCCTGCTTCTTGGTAGGGGGTTGGACTGGATGGCCCATGAGGTCTCTTCCAACTCTATGATTCTATGATTCTAATATTATAAATATTATATGTATATGCAATATATTATATTATATTATATTATATTATATTATATTATATTATTAGTATAGCGCAGGAGACAAGGTGGAACTGCTTTCCCTATCTATCTATCATCTATCTATCTATCTATCTATCTATCTATCTATCTATCTATCTATCTATCTTTCTGTGGAATAATGTCCAGGGTGGGAGAAAGAACAAAATCTGGTTACCGGTATTAAAAAACACCAGAATCAAGACAGTAAATAGAGAACACCACTCAGAAATAGGGGAATTTCAGATAGCAAACAATCCAACCAAGCCAGTTAACTCCTCCCAAACAAAGGATGGCTACAGGCAGCAACAGCCAGGCTTTGCAGTTGCAAGGCTACTCAGTGCTAATCAAGCTGGCTAAATGCAACATTCACACTTGTTTCAAACACACAAGAGTTCTTTCTCCCACCCTGGACATTATTCCCCACTTGCCTCACTCCCACAGACCTCTGAGGATGCCTGCCATAGATGCAGGTGAAATGTCAGGAGATAATGCTACTGGAACATGGCCATATAGCCCAAAAACTCACAGCAACTCAATGATTCTCACCATGAAAGCCTTCAACAAATACAGCTGATTTGATGGGTCTACTTTATTTGGAGCTATTGCTAAGATTCACACCAGACATTACACTTTAGGTAGACGACATGATCCCGAGAGATAATTTGGGCATAAATCAAGGACAGAATTTGCAGCAGCTTCTTATTATCCATCTGGAGTTTCCACTGCAGCCGTTACCTTAAGGCTCCTTGGTTATTTATGCCTGGATTGACCTGGGAATAGGAGTTGGCACAGACAGAAATGGCATCACGCCCCAGGTTTGGGAAGCAATCAGCAATGGCAACTGAACAACTTCCCTTATCTTGAAACAACTTGTTCAGGGA